GCAAAGAATCAAAGAGAAATGCATTGATGATGATGCTGAGTCAGCAGTTCCCAGTCCTGGCACTGTCTTGATGATAGGGTTTCCCATCAAGTACAAGGAAGAAGCAGTTGTACATGAACATTAAAAAAATACATAAACTGTGGTGGTTTCCTCATATCAGTTTTTAAACTCCAAATATTAGATAGTAGATGAATACAATTACAGTTTCTCAGATTATCACACTGCTTTCAGATCTGCAGAAATTTCCAAGAGAAAAAATGTCTCAAGAGAATTATTGAAACATCCCTGAGCAGAATTAAGTTAAGGTCAAATATTTGTAAAATGGAGAAGACTGTGAATGAGTCTAGGGTTCTTTTGCATGGTAAAGAAGGAAATCGTGAATCTGCAAAGTGCATCTTAGCTAGAAGTGCTGATGTCACCAGGCAACGATGGACACCAGCAGTTGACACAGGAAGCTGCTGGTCACTGCTGTTGCTGGCTGTCACTGACCAAGGCCATCTTGTGCTCAGTCCTGGTGGACTCTAAGAGATGCTGGGTTCTTTCTCTTGTCCTCATTGGCTGCTGGACTCGAAATCTTTTGTATTTAGACCTCTGACTATTTATTCTTCATTTTTAGGAATCCAGGGCTTCTGGATATGTTACTCAGGAAAAACCCTAACAGACTTACAGGACTTTTGGAGCCCTCAGTACCTAAGAAACAAATCATGAGCAGGTTTACAGGAGCAACAAACGGAGTCTTCTTGTCACAGGGCCTGTGCTGCAGCACAGCATGGCCAGCACTCAGGAAGGAGGCTTCATAGACTCGGACCTGACAGTGGTCCAAAAAGTACCCATTATGCAGCAGCTTGCAGGCCTCTCGCCATGGGGTTGATGACATAAACCAGGGTTCTCCTGGAAGGTTGCTGTGAATGTGGGCATGCAAAGGAGGGACTCAGATCCCTCCTTCCTGATGGCAGCCACTCCAGGATCCCCCTCTGACTTCAAAAAGCGAAAGCATGGAATGGGATGGGGGGTGCAACATGCTGCATGGCTGCACTAATGTTGGAGCACAGAATGGCAGTTTGACAGAGAAAGAGACACTGAAGCAAACCAGGTTATTGTGCTGGTGTTTAAAGGGGAGCAGAGGGAGGACAGGGGCAGGGAGATGGTTTCTGGTCCAGGCACATTCTTCTCCAGAGCTGAAAAATGAGAGTGCAGCCCTTCTCATCTGTCCCAGAAGCAATTCCTCACTTCCCAAACAAGGTATGCCACTTTATGCTTAAATGTACACAGCAGAAGGAGTCTGTTCTTTCCTATATCAGGTATTACACTGCCACTTCATGCATCCTAGGCCATGAGGAGAGACCAGGCTTTCCTCCCCAGGACTGATTGTGGTAACTCTGGCTAAATAGACCATCTGCCAGTGGCTTGTGTTTTGTTTTAAGCAGGGTCCCTCCTCCTGCTGCTGCTCATATCAAGCCTGCTCCTGTGCAATGATGTGACCTCCCTTCCCTTGTGTGAAGAAAACTGTGGGGAGACCTATGGACATCTCCTTGTTCCCGTGGTCTCTAAGGTTTCTGTCATGCACTTCTACACCAAAAAGCTCTTCATCGATTTTGTAAGTACCTCATTTTTTGTCGCTTCTTGCTGAGAGATTTCTTTTTTTTTTTTTTTTTTATTTTAAGGATAAAAGGAGGGAAACATTAACAGACATACAACATTTTACAACATATCACAAGCACAATACAGACAATACAGAGTTCCAAACAAAGTGGTAGGGAATTAACAATGGTGGTTGTATTATATATTGATATCTTCAAAGTGGCTTCTCATGAAAACAGATATAGACATGCAATACTGGTCAACCAAAGACTCATTGACAGTTTCTTTCAGCATAGAAACAGCAGATAGAAGAACAACCATGTTATCTATCCTGTATATACATACATACAGAATTTCTCCTTCTTTCCCTTCTCTTTTCCCACTGCTGAGAGATTTCAATCAGTTGCCCTTCCCATAAATTAAAATTTGAAGACCTCACCTGCCAAGTTTCAAATAACATTTACTCATAAGTAAAAGAAAATAATAAAATCTGGAAGAAGAAGAAAGGGAAAGTTTCATGGAATCTCAACTTGTCAAAGAAAATAATGATATAAAATATTTTTCAAAATCTTAATAGTTACAAATGATTTAATATAATTGCTACAGATTTAAAGCCCTAATATAAACCCTTAATTTGGGACATAGGAGGAGCACTCATTTCCTACTTTTGCCGGCAGGGTCAGTCCTTCGCACCCTTGGCAGAACGCACTGCAGATATCCAAGAAAGGTGGACTGCTTTGCATGAGTTAGGTGCATCAAATGGAAGGAAACCAAACTGATTCCATGTCAGGGGGAAGAAACCCAAGTCAGCAGCTCCTTGGAAGACTCATGAAGCTGGGACACATTATCATAGGATTTCCAGTGCGGGAGTCTATAAGCACAACAGAAGGGCAATGCAACATGTGGAGACACATTCACTCCTTTTCAGAAAATTACACTGAAAGTTGTCTGTGACATACTGTAGGTCAGTGACGTGGTGGAGAACAGACTAGATTTTAGTATCACAAAGGTCCTCCAAAAGAACATGTCCCAGTATTTAAATTAATATGTGTCAAACCTTTTGCTAATCCCACTCCTCCTTCTTTAGTTACCTACCCTCCAATCCTGTTTTTTTTTCCGTTCCTATCTCTGTGTTGTTTATTAGAACATGTCTGCAGTGCGTGGTGCTTGAGTTCATCATAGGGAGTGGGTACATGTACTTAACACATATTGATTCTTTTCATTAGATTTCTCACTACCCACTTCCTTTCCTCTATCTCTAGATAACTTTCCCCCATTTTCATATTTTGTTGCTGTTATATTATTTCATCTTGCCACATGTAACGGTTACACACATTGATGGAAACTGATGCACTACATGACACTTCTGAAATGTTTTTATGACTCTTTGCCCTCCTCTCTCCAAGGGCTGTCTGTGTCCTGGCCCCTAATCATTTACAAAAGATCTGTCACCTTGCTTCTTCTCAATCTTTTATTTTGCTCTTTATTTGTCCTTTGGTAACTCAAACGTACTACTGAAGCTTGTGTCCCTGAATTCTTTCAGATAACACTAAGTTTCCAAGGTGTGTTCATTTTTCCATCAGTGTCTCAAATCTCTCTTATCTTAGAGCTGAATTTCATTTCATTCTTTGCAGATGCGTCATTTGCTTTATCCCATTCCATACATGCTGATAAGAATTGGCTATTATAAATTAATTGTGCTGTTATAAATTTTGACATGCATGTATAGCTTAATATGTTGTGTCAGCTCTTTTGGGAACATAAGTAGATAGGAAATGTGGGTGTGAAATGGAATTTGCATAATTAGATATTTGAAAAAATTCATAATGATTTCCATAATGGTTTCAATAATTTACACTCACATAAAAATGTAGATGTGTTCCTTTTCCACCACAGCTACCTTTAAACTTCCCAGGTTTCATAGTAATCACTTTCAACTTTCACTGCTGTTGCTTAATAGTAGTCTAGGTATTTCTTTGGAGAATTAATCTCAATTCATTAGTTAGAATTTCTTAAAAGATTTTTCAGTGTTTTATGACTTATTCTGTCACAATTAAGATTTTTTTGAATTTATGGTGTAACTCACACGACACAGATGTGTTGCTTAAAGTGTAATCAAAAGAAATGTTAGAATTTTTCATCTACCTAAGGAAGAGAAAATAAATTTGGAACCACAGGAAACAACAAATTCCAATGCTAAATAGAAGTGTATGTGCACAATGGCTTTTAGTACAAAGAAGAGACTATCATATTTATCACACTTACACTCTCATAGCTTTGCTATTTTTAGTGTTTTCATTCCAAATGATAACTTCTAGGAAGAGTGAGAAAACAGCAGTGTGAGAAATAAGAGAAGTGGGAGCGTAGAAAAGTTAAAAGAACACAGTGAGATTACAGGGGTAATGACAAAAGAGAAAACCATGCTAGTTTACTGATCTTTATTGTCAGTTCCTGTGTTACTCTCTTTAAAAGAATTACACATTCATGTAATTTGCTAATATTCTTGCAATGGATTTGTAATTTTAATTTTTTTTTTAAATTCTCTTTAATGGTTTCATCAATGTTGGGTTCATATTTTAAACAAATGAATTTTCCTCGATCTTTTCAGGTGAAACGCTATTCCAAGAGCCCAGATGGTTACTTTCAGGCAACCATTCATACTTGCCACACTTGTACCATCCTTGAATCTGATGACACTACACGTAACTCGATGATTCCGGTGAGTTCCTCTCACAGCTCTGCCAGAACAACTGAAGCAGTGCACAGTCAGTGCTCTCCTGCAGGCTCTGGGAGGCTCTGTAATCAAGGTTAACAGTAGTCACATCTGTGCAGAAAGATGGGGAAAGACATGAAAGGAGAATTACATGGTATAATTGATAAAGAACATGCAAAATCCAATGCTAATTACTTTGAGTTAGATCCACAAATTGCTCAAGCTGATAAGAGTATATTATCCCATCTCTTTCACTGGGGATTGAATATATTATACTGCAGGGGAGGTGGAAATGCTTTGCACACTCGTGTACATATGTGAGGAATGGAGATGAGCTATTCTTATCACAGGTTTCTAATGACTCTGGCACGGGCAACCTCTCTACATTACTGACCAATGCCCCATCTGTGGCATCTCTTGTAGTTTCAAGGCTCTGCTTCTGTTTCAGCTTCTGCTTCTCTAATGCTGACTTTTTCTCCTTTGAATACTCCCTGCCTCTCCCTATGTTTTAACTGAATGTCCCCCTACTGTGCCTGTCCTGTACCGTACAATTTTGTGGTTCTGAGAGCTCCAACCCTGGAGTCTCCTCTGATGACAGTAAATCTTGTATATCAAGCCCTAAATATTTTACAATGCTCTAATATTTTAACATAATTTCTCTCTTCTGGTTCTTGGATAAACACAGATTCAACTTGATTTCAAAGAAGCATGGAATTTCAGAGGGAAAATTAACTTGATAGTTTTGGATTGCAACTCTCAAGAAATTATTTCAATTAGGAATATTTGTATTTTTTGAGTTGTAGAAAAACCAGTTTCACTGGGTTAAAGTGTACTTTTTTGATAAGCTCTATCACAAAAAATGTCAGGTTCCCACAGGAATGACAAAGAAATATTTTTGTTAAGCTTTTCTGAGCAAAAATAATGTGAAACTAACCTGGTGTATCTCACTTGCTTTTCCGTGGTTTCTCCAAATATGGCCCTTAGAATACAGAGGATCTCAGATGTTTGATCAGCTTGATGAACTCGTGGAATGAACTCCTGCTGCACCTTGCTAATGAAGCACATCGCCTGCCAGGACATAGTACCCACGTCAGAGATGAAGTCAACATTATTGCAGGACAAAACCGAGAACTTCAAAACCTCGTAAAGAACATAGCCACGCAGGTGAGCACCTGGCATGCTTCTTGGTGTTTGATTAAAGAGGTCCTTTCTGTGCTGGGACATGTGTGGAAATCTTTCACTTTGCAAAGATAACATTTCTACATTTCAACTCCACGTTGCATCTCCTAGTCTGCTATTAAGCAAAGCGGAGCCTTGGGGATTCACAGGGAGGATTCCAAGATCATTTCATCTCACTGTTTGTTGGGTCGACAAGTGCAGTCTTACAGCATTGTGTACAAAATTACTAAGGATGTGAATCCTCCTGTGGTGGGTGCATAAATACTGTTTGGGAAGCAAACTCAGAGGATAACTTGCAAAACAAATTTTTCCTTCAATTATCCCAGGACACAGGTGTCGGGATTCTACTCAGTGCTTTCCCTCTTGTTTTTGCTCCAGTGGACAGAATAGGAAGGGAGTAGGGACAAAACTTAAATGAGCCTGGTTTGCACCCCCACCTCAACCACTACACAGAGGATCCGAGGAGGCCAGTGCATCAGCAGTGTCCACAAGCACTAGTTCAGGTTGTCATCCCAATAGAAGAGATGTATGTCTCCTAGAATGGTCCTCCTTTTCTTATTTATACAACGGGAGGATCAGTTTTGTTTTCCCTGATGTTCATAAATGAAAATTGATTTTATTGTATAATTTTCCCAAATAATTCCTTACACCTAAGTTGAATTAGTATTTGACTATATATCTAATTCATATAAGACAATAGTAATATTGGAAAATAACTAAGAGATTTCTAAACTTTCCAGAAATAATGTACTGTCTTAAGAATAATATATGATTTGTTATACAAAAGAAGAAATTTTATATTTCATGTTTGTCCTGAGAACATATGGGCTGTTATAAGATTTTCATTTTCCTGAGAAAAGACTATTTTAAAAATGAATATAAATAGTATATTAACCTCAAAATATGTGAAATGAATACTTAAATATTCTAAGTAGTTTTCTCATTATTGTGTACTTAATTTCTGAGTTACAGTTTGTTCTATAATGTTACATTTTCTCGTCCTGTTTTCTCAAATTGATTCCTGTTCATATCATGATACTTGCACACTCAATTTTCTCTTACACTTCAAGTACATGACAAAAAAAAACAAAGAGGAAGGTAACACACACACACACACACACACACACACACACACACACACTTTACCTTCCATTACAAAGAGTTGTTCTCTGTAGCATGAAGTTCACCCCGTTGAGTTCACAGTTATGCTGGATGTGCACCTGGCAGAGCTTGACCTCACCTGACTCATGTAGAGGTTCCCTGATGGTCACTGGGCTCTGCCATCTCTGAGCACTCACACTTGTCAGAGGCCCAGAGAGGGCACAGGGATGTCTGGCTTCCTCTCTCACACAGTCAGTGCAACACTTGTTTGACTCTGACCTCCCCACCTCCACAGCATGGCTCTTATCACGAAGGGCAGCTTCTGCCACCTTCCTTTTTCATAAGCTCAATTACCAGCAACTCCAACCCCAAGGAACTATAAACAGGTAGCTGCTCCTCATGGAACCATGGAAGGTGGATTTCCTTGGTGGAATGTGAAACTTCTGATCTTCTTATTATCCTGCCTTGAGCATCTACATCTTAAAGCATGAAGTGCTGTCCTTTCGAGGTCTTAGTCTTCAGTATAGATATAATATAGATAATAGATTCAGTTCAAGGAAACAAAAGAATAATGGTGATGTGTCAGAGGATGTATAGTACAGAGGGCACATCAAGAATGATTCAACAAATGTTAAAGTTCCATAAATTAGGAAGTGGAAGGTAGCCTCACCAGTGTCCTTTGGTAATATCATGTGTGTATTCCAGTAGGTAATTTGTGGTCATCCCCTTCTCTATTAGGGAAGGAATATCCTTCCCCAGTGATCACTTGTTTGACAGATAAATGCCAAATGTCTTCTTCTGGTAGCCTTAGATGGCTAACAGTGTCATGATATCCTGGCCAGGATCCATGAAAACTTATACCCTTAGCTAAAGTGTACATTAATCTCTCCTCCCCAAATCTGAATTGAACAAATGAAAGAAACACAGATAAGATCTACTAATAGAAGTAACAAACGTTTCTCATTTTGTGACAGTTTGATCCTGACTTCACAAAGAATGTAGACTATGCTGTCTCGACAGACTTTCCATCGCTGCAATCCGCTGATGAAGATGTTCGCCTGTTTACTACTTTTAATCTGCTCCGCTGCCTGCTTTCTGATACCCATGCCATTGCTCAGTATCTCAAGTTGTTTTTGTGCAGTGTTCTCAAATATGATAAATGCTAAGATCACATTCATTCCTTCTTTATGGAGATTGTTCTTAACAGTGAATCCTTTGGAAAGCTCCTTTCAGTTTCATGTCTTTTTATTAATATTTTGGATGTAAGATTGTAAATTGTTGCCTCTTAAAAAAATAAAAGTTGACTCCTTAGCATTGGAAAATTCTTCAATTTGTTTTGTCAAACTTTCTTTTCACCATTTAGTATAAAACCAAAAGAAAACCTACCGTCATCACTGGGAAGATCCTCTCAAAAATAATCTGAAGTGGCAGATATTCACCTTGCAAGTAAGGCAACTAACAAATTATTTGAGAATTGCAGTGAATTAATGTGAGTCAAGTTTTGAACATCAACAAATTACACAAGTGTAAGTTCTTTTAACAGTAGAATAAAGCATGATTAATTATCAGGATACTTTATGAAATCCAGCCATGTTTTCTGAGCTAATGTTCCCCATGTACTGACAAATAATACAAGCTCTACCATAAGAGCAAGGCCAGAAGTAGCAAAGATTTACACACTCTCATAATTGCCAGGACACAAATGTGACATGTCTTAGGTCTCCACCACATGTCTTCTACCATGTTCTGCTGCATTCCATCTTAGTTTCATCTGAGAAGCTCTCCGTATGTTTCACTCTCTCTGGTCTAATAAGTCCAGTTCATTCATATTGCAAATCTGTCTCATATTCTGCTGTTATTTTCCCCTCCAACCGTGGTCACTCAATTGATATAACAGCTCATAAGACAGTCAGTTCCTCTAACGGTTTTTCTCCCCTTTTTGCCTGATCTGTTTCCTCTCACTATGTGAGATGAAATATAGGGATGGGAGACATAGTAGAGCTCTGACATCCCTGGCCTTTGAGATGCTGTCATAGGCTTCCCCTTGCTGACAGGGTTAAAATTGACCTCGTCTCTGGGCCAGATGTGTAGCTTTTCAGTCAGTCTTAAGATTCTCCAGGACCTTTGCCAGAGGAGACACTTGTCATTATAATCTTGTTAAATGTAGTGATCTGGCTTCATTCTGCTGTGCACCCTGCAGCTCTGTAGTCTCCAGGGTTCTTTCCACACGCTGCTGAACATCAGCCATCTGCTGCAGATCCAATGGGAAACTCTTGCATCATAACCATTAGGAAGAGTAATGCTGTTGCCAGAGGCCCAGGTGTTCAAAGGTTGCAGGCTCTTTCTGTCCCACCTGAAGAATGAGCTGGGCCAAACGGTGAACCAGTAGAGATAACTTTTACTTAAAGTAAGAAAAGAAAAAGGAGCTTCTATGGAAAGTAAAAGCAGAAAAAGAGGAAAAGGTGGAGAAAAAGAGAAATACATGAAAATGGAAGGTAGGTTCTGAGTGCAGGGTGGGGCCCTTTGGAAACAGAACAGGAAGATGGCCATGGTACAAAGTCAGTAGGTACCATCTTTCTTACTCTCTTAGATCTCCTTTGCCGGAAGTTGCTCTGCTCAGGCATCCCAGCTCTGACTGACTGTTCACCTCGTACTGTTCAGCCTCCATTCAGGACTTTGTAATTTCCAGGTTACATGCTGCCATGTAGCCTTTGTTCCAGTTCTTCATGACTGAAGGTTACAGGTCACTTTCCTGCCAACTTCCATGACGTAGCCTACTCTCTCATTTGTCCCTCAGAGATATGAATGCCATAATTTGTTTTAAAAGTGATTTTAAGGAAAAGAACAAAAAGAGAATATCAAAACAAAGACAAACACAAAGTAACAAAAAAAGTATAAAAATGATGCTGAATTTCAAAGCAAGATGATATGAAATCAAAAATGGTTGTTGTATTACCTATTGTTATCTTCAAAGTAGCTGCGCATACTACCAGACTTAGGTATGCAAGTTTGATCAATTAAACACTTACTGTTGCTTTCAATTTACCAATAGAAATTAGTAGTACTATAATCTTAGCGAATATCACCACTCCTTTTGCTCATCAAAACTGCTCCTTCCTTTTATTCAATTTTAAAAATAAAAGGGGGAAAACATTAACAGACAGACATCCTTTTGCAAAATAGCAAAAGAGCAGTACAGACAACACAGAGTTACAAAGGAATTTGTAGGCAATTAACAATGGTTGTTGTATTACATATTGATATCTTCAAAGTAGTTTCCCATGAAAACATACACACATACAAAGGTGATCAACCAAGGCCTCATTGACAGTTTCTTTCAGCAAAAAATACAAGACAGTAGAACAGCCGTGTTAACTATCCTGAGTATACATACATATAAACTTTCTCCTTCTTTCCCTTCTCTTTTCCCATATCCCAGTTTCCCTTTACCTTTGAGTGCTTTCCTATCAATTCACAATGTCTGTCATATCTCCTAGTTTAAATTAACTCTTTCAGGCTTTACACTAGAGAAACAATGCGGTGCTTGCACATATATGTTTGCTTTATTTCACTTATGAGTATGGTCTCTAGTTGTGACCATTTACCTGTAAAATCCTCGAGATTATCTTTATCACTGAGTAATATTCCATTCTATAAAAGTACCACAATTTTCTCACCCAATCCTCAGTGGATGAACTTTTGGGTTCCTTCTACCATTTATCAACTACAAATTGTGAAGCTATGAAAATAGGTGCCAGTATATCGTTGTGATATGATGTTTTTAGATCTTTTGGGAAAATACCCAGCAGGGCGATAGCTGGGATCAATGGGACCTCTACATCCAGTTTCCAGAAGAATCTCCAAACTGATTTCCACAGTGGTTTCACCAGTCTGCATTCCCACCAGCCCTTGAGAAGAGTTCCTCTTTCTCCACAGCCTCACCAGCATTCGTTATTGGTTGACTTCTTAATGCTAGCCATTGTTGCTGGGGTAAGGTGGAATCTCAGTGTTGTTTTAATTTGCATTTTTTGAATGACTAATGATGTTGAACATTTTCTCATACATTTGTTTGCCATTTGTATCTCCTTGTCTGAGAAGTGTGTACTCATCTCAGCGGCCCATTTGTGGATTGGGTCTTTGAATTTGGAGGGGCTGAAATTTTTTAATTCTTTCTATGTTCTACATAGAAGC